AGTAACGATTTCATTCGACATTTCCGTTACAAATACTTGTACTTTTTCCCTAAAAAAGTAACGAAAGTACAAGTAAAAGTACTAAATTTAAAAAGTAACGAAGTACAAGTAAAAGTACGTACTTTTTACTTGTACCGCCGGTACAAGTAACGAAAGTAAAAGTACTGCCATATATGCTTGTGACAATAAAAATATAACATCGAAATCGATTGAATGTTGAACATGATATACACGTTGCTTTGTCGAAAACCAGCCCCCAATTAAATTTATTAATTAAGGAAAAGCAGCAGCAACCTTCACATTAAAAATTTTAATTTTAAAAATTTTGTATACTATTAAAAAAATAAAATTAAATATTTTCTAATAATTTATGTTTTTGCAATTATTTTTTTTTCACAGGGGGGTGGTCCATGACTTCTTAAAAATTTTTAAAAGTGGTCCATTATATCAAAAAGGTTAAGAAACACTGGTTTAAAGGGTTGACCTCTAATATCTCCTGGTCCAAAGCTCCTGGTTCAAAAACACACTGAGTTATAAATAAATCATATGTATGTTATAAAAAGGTTATAAGTAAAATTATCATCACCACCATTTTACTCCCCAAAATTATTAGTAAAAAAAAAGAAAAAAAAACTCCCACATCATTTCAGATTGTCGTAAAATTTAAATAAAAATGGCCTCTGACTAGTTTAGGTCACCAGTGACCACTGTTGCCTCACTGACCACTCTGACTTACGCATTTGCACCTAGTGCATGAAATCAAAAGATTTCAATCGCCACCAGAACAGTTTAGAGGCCTTCTAAAGAAGAATTCCCTATCAAACGGGAATTATTTTCACTCAATGAATTATTACAGAAAAAAAAATGATAGAAGTCTTCCTAATTCCAGATTAATGGATACACAAATTTTACTTATAAGTATTAAATTAAACCTTGAGAATTGCTATTTTAAAAATTAAAAAAAATAAATAAATACTGAGATTGTAAAACTGGCGATTTACATCAAATTTCGATTTCTTTCTATTTATTTATTTTCTGTAGCTTTCCATCAGTGAAAGCCGATTAATAAAATTGGTTTTCAGATCTGTTAAGCGATTAATTTATTGCCTGCTAATTTCAGATAGAAGTGAAAATACTTTTAGTATCTTTGAATAATATACTTTTTTGAAAGATATTATTTTTTTGAATGCAATTTTTATTTTATTTTATAACCGGCCATGAACAACCGACTAAACGTTGAGTTTGCGACTATCAATGTTCAACTTCGTAGCTTTGTAATTTTGAACCCTGCCCTGAAAACAAGGTAGCTCCCACACTTGCCTTCTCGGAAGACTTCGGGCTAATCTGAATTTGAGTAACATGCAGAGTAAAAATCACGAAAACCTCCCGTGGTAAGCCGGACGGAAAAGGAACTCTAACCCATGATCCGTCTACCACTGAGGATATTTTTCGTCGGCATTGTGATCGGTGGGAGGTAGGTGCGGAATCTGCATCAACCGGCCATTGCCGGGATTCGAACCTCGGTCATTTCATTGGGTGGCAAACACTCTATCCCTAGATCCCTTTCGGTTCCCTTCAAATACATTATAATCTCTCTTCCGTTTGCTTTCGTAAAACGTCGGGATTTGATTTTAAACTGGGAACAGCAAAGACGTCAGCAAAATACTCCGTTTCGCGATTTGACGTTTGACCTTGCTGCCTTCTGCGACTTTGCTCTGAACACTTAGCATTAATAGTTTTATTGAAGAGCAGAAATGTAGAAATCAGTGTATTCCGGCTACCTAAAATCCCGCAGTAGACTGATCCCAGCAGATCACCGGAGTCAAGCATCACTGGCTGCGGTCAGTTTGCTGGTGGGTGACCACTTGGATCAGTCTTCGTAAAGACTGAGGGTGTGCGGTATTGGTCCTCGTTAAACTGTTCTACAGTAAAGTGCTCGACTTCGCGTGTAGGTGGTCGGGCTTCCGAAGCGAGGATGCTATCCCCTCTGCAGATTATCAAAATTGTGATGGCTTGTCTTCGGATCATTCTCAGGGATGTTTCCCAGGCCGTCGCTGGCCAATAGCCCATTGTGCAAATCTAGTGCGACGTAGATTAACTACAACAGCAACCGGGTACTTAAACTTTTATAAAGATCACTGCTCGACTAACTTCCGAAGCTTCTAAACTATCATACCATTTTTAAATATTTCTGTGATCTACAAACCAAAAGAACTATCCACTAAGGAATTAAGGCTAATCAACTGGAACATTAACTAGATTTATTTAAAAATGTTCCAACGAGCTACTAGTAGATCGCGATCGATAGTTTGGTGATCACTTTTGTATACAGATTGAAGGTGATCACTTTTGTAGGATTTAAAATAGGGCACAAACTCGCTGTCTTGAGGAGAAAATGTTATTATATAAATAAAGTGAAAAAAACGAGAATTTGGTATGTGATCCTACCTTAAGAAAAACATCAGTGTAGGGTATACCGGGCAGTGGCACTTAATTAGACTTAGTATATACAGTCAATTCGCTATAACTCGAAGTACGATAACTCAAATATTACTATAACTCGATTTTTTTATGAAGTCCCGATCCTTTTTTCTTCAATTTCATGTTAATTATTCTCGATCACTCGAATTTTACTCCCTTTAACTCGATTTTTTTGGATCGTTTAAAGCAAGAAAAAAAAACCTAGGAGCTGATATCTTGCCCCTCCCTTTACAACACACACACAATGTCATTCGCACTCTTCAATGAGAAGCTGAAGCTGTCCCTCTTGAAATATGCGAACAGTGGTTAAATGAAACGTTACCAAATTTACTTCAAGGATGCAGTTAAAATAATGTTTTCAATATTGATGAAATGGTTTTTTTTTTAAATGTCTTCCAAATATGACTATGGTGTTTAAGGATGAAAACTGCTTAGGGGGTAAAATGAGCAAGGAGCGTTTGACTGTCCTAGTTTGAGGAAATGCGTTTGGGACAGAGAAATTGTCCTTACTTGTTATCGAAAAATACCGAAATCCCCGATGTTTCAAGAATGTAAAAAAGTATCCTTTGGATTACAAGTCTAACAAAAAGTTTTGGATGACATCAGTTTTATTTGAAGACTATGTCAGAAAATTGGATCGGAAATTCTTCGGTAAAAAAAGAAAAGTAATGCACAGCGCATAGTGATCTACCTAATTTGAAAGCAGTGAACTTGCAGTTTCTCCCGCCAAACACAATAGCAAAGTTGCAGTCGATGGATCAGGGTATCATAAAGTGCTTCAAACAGTCTAATCGTAAATGGCTTGTCAGAAAAATGATCTTAAATATTGTAAGCATTTAGAAGATTTGTAATTAATAAGCATTAATTAATTAATCCGACAATATTTAAGTGCAAAACCGAAACTAACGGTAAGTCGAACTTCCGATATGTCAAAGTTTTGTGTCAGTCCTATCAGTTTCGAGTTATCGCGAATTCACTGTATTTCGAACATGTACCAAAGCTATTATGTGATTTGCAACATTCACCGTTGAAAGTCAACACCGCTGAATGCCACCAATTTCGGTCATTTTCAGCAACATATGTAAATGTTATATCCATTATCATTATATCCATTATAAATAAAAATGGATATAAATGGATTGGTCTAACTTGCTACGATTTTTAATACGTAAATATATATTTGCTCTGAAGTTTCGTACGAATGCATTTCATGGTTATCTACTATTTCGAAAGAAATTTTTTTAAATATTTATAGCATAAAATCTTTGCTTCGTTAAAATAGAAAAAATACCAATATTCACGACGAGATCTAGATCCGGGGTTTCCAACTTACATGAGGCCCGGGGGTCGTAATTAAAAACACCAATGAAATGGCGGGCCGCAACTTTATCGAAATTTTATATAGGACTCTTTTATGTTTGAAGGAATGTTAAATATTACTGTCAGATTTTTATAAAGTTGTATAAAACAAACGTATGGAATTATAAATTAAAATTAGAAGTAGATTATTGAGCAACATAGACGATTATTTTTGTATTTGAATAAATATTTTCTTGGATGCAAAAGCTGAGAAAAAAAATTTTCTTGCGCTGTTGGTATGTTAAATTTCGCAGAAACGAAAAAATTAGGTTTTTTTAACGAAGCAAAAGTATTTTAAACCCATATAGACTTTTTACGAAAATTGTCCGCAAAAAATGACAACTAATATATTTTAATTTTCGGACCACAAAAAGTTATATTATCAAAACACAGCGTGAATAACATGCTTTACAATAAATATTAAATATGGGAGAATTATTAACAATGATAATATCGCGATAATTATCGACAAAGATAAGTATCGAATATGGTTATATCGTAATGATTATTGTCAATGTTATTTACCAAACACGATAATATCTTGGCAACTATCGTCAACGATATAAATATCAAATAAGAAACTATTTTAATAATTATTGACTACGATGCTATAGTGATTACCGAGTATACTTTATCGATGAATTATGGGTATAATGACTATTTTTTAAAACAAAGTATGTTTAAAAAAATTGTTTATAAAAATGTTTTTTCTTCATTTGTTTTACAAAAATATTATCAAACGTAAATTAGTTAAATGGGAAAATATTGCGATGCATAGAGAAACAGTGATATTTTTTAGCGATGAATAGCGATTTAAAAATTTCCTTGACGCCCAGCAAAATGAAATTTGGCAATTTTAATTTTATTATTTTTTTTAAGTTTTTATATTTATCGAATGTATTATTAGAATTAATTAAAAAGTCTCGTTTTTTTTTTTTTCAATGAAAGAATATTATGTAAAACAAAAATATTCGTAACTATGCAAGATCTAATCGCTGTTTTCGTTTATTTACATGAGAACAGGTTGTTCGAAAGCGTCACTATATTCTTATCATTTGCTATCTCACAAATCCAAGAGGCGCGAGTTTGATCTTTACTATTACGTCTTTAAAAGCCACAATCAAAACAAATGATTTATCAGACCAAAATCGATTGACGGAAAAATTTTTGCTCGAAATTTTAACTCCAACCTTGAAGGAGCCTGGATACAGAGAAGTCCCTGCAAGGATTGGATATTTGGAACACTCCTTCAGAATCCCGTTCTCTGATTGGTTTAGCTTTCTCTGTATTTAAACATGCAACCTGATTTTTGTTACAGAATTCAATGGAAACTGAGAGAGTAAGTACAATATTGTATCTCTTGTAAAAATATTAAATTCTCAATTACTTTTTTCGCAAAAATTGATCACTGTTCTTGTTAACGAATGCTAGTTTGTTATTAAAGTTTAATTTTTTGTTTCGGAGGAAATTTAATGTTGTTTTTGCTGTGTAATTTATATTTATTTGATTTTATTTTTTCAAGATGTCTACCTTCGGGTTATTATTTTGCATGAGCTATTCATGAATATACCTTTCTCGTTCCTTATGCCCCTGAATAATTATCTAAAAATTCTTCCTGGTATCTGTTGCGCGTATTGTTCGAATTAATAACTTTCCCACCGCTGTAAGTAATTTTTTCTCATTGTTAAAATGGATGTTATTACAATAATAATTGTATGCTCCATATTTATGTTGCCGTAAGTTATTTTGGCATGACCTATTTAAGAATGAGCTGTACTTGTTTACGATTTCGCTGTATAATTTTTTGTGAGCTTTGCTTTTAACTGTGTTTTAATTCATATTTAACTAACATCGTATATCTTCTCAGGTCGATAGTCGCGGGCAGTTTTAATCAATCAATAAAATCGAAGTGTAGCTTTAGATTTGTAATAAACTATTGAATGCTTACTATCATTATTTTTTAATTAGAATTTATCCAGCCTATTTATTCCTTGAAGTTCGTTTTGTTAAGAAAGCTTGTACTTATTTTTTTTAATAAGAATAATTTATTCAGTTTATTTTACCCTTAATTAAAGTTTGTCTCGTTAAGAAAGCTCCTTATTATAACAATAGATTATTCAGCTTATTTATTCCTTAATTTATGTTCTCGTTGAGTTAGCTTATTTTTTAATTAAAAAAAAAAATGGTTAATCTTCTGTGATTTATTCCTTTAATTATATTTATAGTCGTTATAAAAGCTTAAAGTTGATATCTAGAAATTTGAATATTGTCAGGGTAAAAGCTACAATTTTTCTTTACGCCTCGCATTTTTATTAAACAAAATACAAGCTAGTAGTTTGATGTATCTTTTTGTGCTTGTCTACATTTTTGGAGAAATTTAGATGTTAAAATCTAAATTAAGCGAAATAAAATTTAATTTTAAATAAATTTAAAGGAGCTGTTTTAAAGCAATAAGTCGTCACTCTGTTCATTTTGGAATTTTATTTAAATAGAAGTGTAAGGTAACTTTTTTTAAAATATTTCAAAAGTATATAAATATATATTTCTGTTCAATTTATTTTTAAAAATTTGAAATGGGTAATAAAGTCTATTTTAGCAGTATTTTGATTAAAAATATGATTTTAAACAATCAGTACACCATATGTTGGTTTTTCTGGTCTTTCAAAAGCAATTTCTTTCCTCTTGTGTGCCTTGTCTTTAATTTGTTCTTTAAAACGTATCTTTTTTTTCTATTTTTAAAATGTTCCTGTCATACTGTTATGCAACTCCTTTTAGAAGGAAGTTGGACTCTTGCCATAAAGTGTTTTGCAATGAATTTTCAAGTTAATTCCCAAAATAGTATCAAAATTTTTCTTCCATTTTGTTTTGTATTATTCTGAGTATTATCAATAATGAACTACAATGAATCAGTCCACCAAATCTATGTAACCAACAGACACTTTTTTATTGCACAAAGTTTAGGTATTTTTTTAATTATTCAAAATGTGTTATGAATTTCTATTTTTAGTTTTTGGTTTCTTACCAAACTCATCGCTCTTTAACACTCTATTAATTTTAGTGAAATTTTTAATTTGAAAAGCATTAGTTTTTTTCCCCCTAATGTTACTCTACTTAATATAAAATGTGCCTTTTTTTTTTTGTAACTTTAACTTTTGTTTTATATTTTAGACAATTTTTAATTTTGCATAAGAAATGAAATGTAAAAAAAATAAATAAACGTGAGACAAAATAATACTTTTCGGACCTTTTAGATTGATATGAAATTTAAAAAAAATAGATTTTAATAAAAACAATCATGTTAGAGGTCAATATGTCTATAATATATAATCAGGGAATTGACAAAGTGCAGTTTTAGTCATTAATTTCATCACTGTATGCAAATTCAGCCTTGCTTATTTTTTAAAAAAAATTAAAAATTAACAGTTTAATTTGCAGTTTTTCCATTTTCTTTCGCTGTTGTATTAGACTCAACTCAAATCGATTATTCTACAACATTTTTAGAAAGCTTAGTAATTTTTTTTGAAAAGTAAATAATTTCTTATTCTGGAAAGTGGATAATAATAAATTTAAGTGGTTTTAAATTTTAAACTATTAAATGAATGTACGTTTAAAAGAAAAATGCTTCTTTAAATGTTCATTTTCTCATAATTTTCAGTTTAAATAGTTAAAAAAAAATTCTACCTGTTAATTAGTTTTTTTTTTTTTTGTAAGAAAAGTATGCACAGAGATTGCTTTTTAGCATGCCTTTAATTATTTTTATAAATTACAAATTTGTCTCATATTTTGATAATGAGAGAGAATCCATTTTTGAAGTCTACTCAAAAGTTAGTATGAGAGAATAATTTATAAATTGTTGAGGATAAAACTCAGTTATTACGTAATATTACGAATTTTGATAAGTATTTGTGATAAGTGAGTGCCCTTTAAAAACTCAGTCCTTTTTCAGACAGAAAGCGCCCTGTCCTTTTTTTTATTCCTAGGGAGAACTCTGATTATATACGTGTTGTTAATATTATAGAGTGATGCTATACATACAAATTTTACTTATTAACAATTGTTTTTTATTTTGTAGCCTATTATTATTATGAAAAACACAAGTTACCGAACAAAGTCTAACAAACATCTAGTCAGTCGTGGTACTGAAATTTCTATATATTGGAGTAGTATATCGTCTAGTAGTATGAAATTATAGTTAAACGAAAATATCCACAAGGCAGTCATCCATACCAAGCAGCTCTTAAACGTTTTTATGTAAGTATTCTTGTCTCATTGTTCTATTTTAAATTTCTTTGTTTTAGAAACCAATGCAGTGATTTTTTTATAGCTGTGAACTTTACACCATTTATAAATATCATACTTTCAGACTTTAAACGTTCATATCTCTATGAAAAAAGATCAAACTCTTCTAATTTTTGCTTAAATAGTTCTTGGTGATGTATATGCTTTCTTGAAATCTTTATGAACTTTTAAAAAATTCAACTATTAAAAGTTACTGACAGCTGGCACTAGTCTAAATGACCTGAAAAGTTATTTTAATCAAAATATTTAGAACTGCTTTAAGTTTCTTTAAATTGAGTTATGTGCCTCAAGCTACTAAATATGCTGTTATTGTTCCTTTGTATTTGTTGTTTTAGTGCAAAAATAAGCTTATAATTCTTTTTTGTATTACAGTTTCATCGAAAAGCAAGCAGATTTTTAGAATACTTTGTTCAATATTTGAGTAACTTATTTGAAGTAATATCAAAATGGTTGGTTTATCTGCACCTATCAAAGAACCCACTGTGGGTGTGAAGTTTGTAAGTGCTGGTGTAGCAGCATGTGTTGCAGACATGATAACTTTTCCTTTGGACGTTGCTAAAGTCAGACTTCAGGTAATAATTATGGTCATATAACTTTTGTCAATTTTTAATTGTCTTGACATAAATTATAAGAATTACGGATATAACGGGTTTTTGCTTAAACCAATAGAGCAGACTCCAAATTTTTTAAAAAAAACTGCCGGTGATTTTATAGTTTAGCAGCGTTAACCGACCCATTGACCTGTTTTGCATTTTTTAAAAATGAAGAAAAAAAAGCTCGATTCTTTTGTGTTTATTCAGGAAAAATTTTAAAAGAAATAGATGCTTGCATTATAGCTGACACAAACTACAGCTAAGATTAAAATCTCCTTAACATAGAGCTAGTTATTAAAGGTTGTAAATTAGCCAACTGTTGTACATTAAAACACCCAATTTAAAAGTGAGACAGAGACTTCGTTTCTAAAATTCAAAAGGACACTTGACTATTGATATTAAAAAAAGGAATTTTTTTATTTGATAATTATAAAAATGTCTTTTTTTTTTAACATTAAATTTTAGTATTGAAAATTTTAAACTTTAAATTATTTCAATCGGAAGATTACCTAGGCATAGCTTCTGAAGGTAGTAGTCGACATATTTTTTAAAAAACTGTTTAAGAGTATAAAAATTAAAAGCAGTAGAATTGGAAAATAAGATATATTTAAACGTTCATCAGATTATTACTTCAAATTAACTCACATTTTAAATTATTGATAGAAATATAACTTTATTGAAATTAAAGGGGAAACAAAATCGGTAAGAATCTCAATGTTTTTTTGAAGCTCTGTGGCCAAGGAAAGTGAAAAAGTTGCAGTTTAAGTGCCTTATACTTAAGGTTAAGATATAGTTTTAAACTATATTATACTAAATACATTATCTAAATAGAATTATCGAGAATTTAGAGCAAATAAATGACTTAAGTATTTCATAAGTTATTAAGCTTTTTTTCAAATATGGTGATTTGGAACATTTTTTAATCCTAAATGAAATTATCAAACTCTCTGAATAATTTTCAAATTTTTATGAGTTCAAATAATGTATCATCAGATCAGCTTTACTAGATTAGTTAAACACTTAAAAATTTCAGAAAACCGTTACTTTTCTTCATATTAAGTTTGGGTCATTTTCAGAATTAACATTAAGGGTGGTGTCTAGAAATAGACTTAACCTAACAGTTATAACTGTTGTATGCTCACAACAGTTATGAAATTAGCATATTATTTGCAAAATAGTATTTCATGTAATGACAAAGCATTAAAAAAAAGAAAAAAACTTTAATCTGAAGACTTGTAAAGGTAAAACTGACTTGTTAGTACAAATGTGAATTACTCTGTAGCTTTTTTAATTTAATTTTCTTTTCTTATTTATTGAAATTTATTTCTTTAGATTCAAGGTGAAGGCATATCTGCTGCGAACTCAGCCATGGCATCCAAGAGAGGCATGTTTGGAATGTTGGTTAACATCGTACAGAAGGAAGGACCCAAAAGTTTGTACAATGGTTTATGTGCTGGCCTCCAAAGACAGATGTGCTTTGCCTCTGTTCGCATTGGACTTTATGACTCTGTGAAAAATCAATACAGTGCTTTAGGTACAAATAATTGGTCATTCATTATTACATGTTATTCTTAAATTTTTTGCTAATTTAATTATCTAGGGAAGTTTTTAGCTCTAATTATAGTTGTAAAGAAAATAGATATTCAATCTCTAAATTTATATTCTAATATTGCTGAAAATTTTCAGTTATATTATATATCAGCAAAAGGACGTTTTAAATATATTTGATTGTAAAAATTTACATACACAAAAGATGTATTTAATTTTATGTTTTCAAAATATATGCATTAAAAAAGGGTTTTTATGAGTGAAAATTTTACCTTCTAGTTATTTTACTTTAATGAGATCAAAAAGGAAGTCATAATTCATAAGTAACAATTTTAAAAAAATGATTTTTGTCAAATTTTTAAGTATTTCTGTTTTGTTTTATTTGTTATTTTGTTAATTTTTTGTGTGTTCTTTTTTATTTCATCGCTTTGTTATTTTACTAGTTTAGTTGTTTTTAATCTTTATCTGACAGAGAAAAGGGAGCGTTTGAAATAATGAATGAAATACTAAGCTAATATACTATCAAGTGTGTTTTATTTTGTGATTTAAAAGTAATAAATGTTGAATTGCGTTATATAAAATCTGTATGTAGGCATTGAACTTCTCTCATTCTTTCATTTATTCCTTATTTTACATTTGTATCATACCTAATTGCAGAATAAGTAGCTATTAAAAATATTCATAACAGTTATAAGACGTCATTAATTAATACTATGCAGATTATTTGCGAAACAAAAAAAAAGAAATTATTTAGTGTTATTTATTGGCAGTATATTTTGTATAAAATAATTTTATCTATTTTACTTTTGCATAACTAGTTTGATCTAGAGTAGTTTTTGATTTCATACAACATTAAAAATATTGATTATCTTCTTATTTCTAGCTTGTGAATTTTTTTTTGTCTAGATTATTAAATGGTTTTTATTAAATTCATTTAGTTCATAAACTACTTCAGTTTTTTTTTTTTTACCTATACATCCTATCCAAAAAATTGTTGATGACATTTGACATTGTTTTGTCTCATGTTACCCTCTTCTTTTCATAAGATTTTTAAAACTTTTTTCTTAAAAGGTGCTTATTTTTTGTTGCAAAATCTGGCTACACAATCTGTATAAATAAGTTTTCAAATTTTGATATATTGTATTGTTGACATGAATGCAAAATGTATTGTATTTATTTTTCTGCGTGAGTTTTTATAATGAGACGGATTTCTTTTATTTTTGTTTTAATCAATTTATTTCATTTCTATGAAGTATTTAAATAAAAAGTTTCCTTGTCAATATTTAATATTTTAAGAGTGCTAAACTTTAAAGTCATTTTAATCTTAAATTTTCTGTGTGTTCATTAATTAAAAAAATAAATTTTAACAAAGTAGAATGAATTAATGTTCTATTAAATAATGAATTTACTACTATAATAACTACATTAAATACATTTTATATTTAAGTTTAATGTAAATCATAAATGAAATATAATTTTTGTATTTTATTCACCATAAAAATCGTTAAGTATAAAATACTCCATGCTAAGCTTTTATTAGTTTTCTAAAGCATATTTTGTTAACCTTCCCAGCTTCTGGAAATGTACCTGCTGGACATGTAGGGATACGTATCCTTGCTGGTATCACTACTGGTGGGATGTCTGTAATATTTGCCCAGCCAACTGATGTTGTTAAGGTCAGAATGCAGGCACAAGTGACCGGGGTGGCTCCGCGTTATGTAGGAACCATGAGTGCTTACAAAACCATTGCAGTTGAAGAAGGAATGAAAGGATTATGGAAAGGTAATGCTGACATTTTCTTTTTCATTCTTTCCTTTTGTTTGTTATGTATTCTCTTTGAACAAGTAAATTGTCATATGTATTTGTTAAATGGAAGTATCAATTAAGTTACTTAAAACGTGAAGGAAGCTATTGTGATATTAACTGCTCTTTTTATGAGTTTTTAAAGGATTAATTAGTGATGTGTGATATGAAGCTGTTTTAAAATTTAAAAACTATTTAAAATACTTGGAGAAAAATAAACTTTTGTAATGTTTTAATAAATTGTATAGAAGTTGAAAAAAAAATTATTTACATTAAAGTAAATTACCAGCAAAGGTTACAAGTTATAATCAAGGTTAAAAGCATTTAATTATTTTTCGAACAATATTTTATGTTAGTCATAAAATAAATTTTAAATTCACATGAATTTATATTTAATTTTTTCCATAGAAATAATTGTTATTTAAACTATAGTACTCTGTTTTACTTTGAGATTAGGAAGCACTAATGTTGTGTTAATATAAAAATTTATTTTTCAATGTAACTGTTAATATAATTATAACTTATAATGTTTTTAAGGTTAACTAAGTTTAATGTTAAATATTATACAGGATATATTAAACATTATACGGTCTAAGTTTTATATGATTATTAAAGTAAACTTCTATTATTTCACAACAAGATATAAATACTGCAATTTATTTGTATTGATTTTGATTTGTGCTTTAACTATGCTTCTCTTTTCAGAAGTTTGCCGGGGTCCATTTATGGAGTGAGCTTGTTTTTTCTCATGGAGTAGATCCTTTTGAAAAAACAAGCTGTTTATTAATCTAGTTTTTAATATATCCTCATATGCCACCTTTTTGATGAGAAGATTGAATAATGTTTATAGTTTTTGTTTAAATGTAATCCAAACATCCATTCAAATTTTATCTTCATTTTTTCATTTTCTCAGTTTAAAATTAAAATTATTGTTAAATCAAGAGCATTTAACTATTTTATTTATCATAATAAGGATTTTAAGTGTTTAATTTTTTTTTAATTATGTAATTTGCATGTTGAATTCAGTTTTTATAGTATTAATAATATTAAATTTAAAATAATTGCAAATTTAAAAATTATTAAAATTTAAAATTACAAAAATTTTTAGCAATATATATATATATATTTTAATTGTATAGTTATTATTTTTTTTTATTATCAAAAAGGTGGTTACAGCATTGTTTTGAAAGTCATAAACTTAAAAGAAATTATAAAAGCCAACATATTATTTTTATCTTGTGATGCAACGAAATGAATAATGTTTATTGTAATTGCTAATGTCAATAGATAATCTTGTGAGTTTTTAAATTCAAAATGTAAAACTTTATCTTTAGAGACTTTAATGATACACTTTTCGGAAATGAACTGATATATAAAGTTTATAGCCTATTTACCGAAGGTAGTTTATAGGCACATAGTAAGAATCACTTTGTAACACTACATTAGGAAAAAATCGCTAAATGCTAGGTTTGAATATTTATAAGTAATGCTTACATCATTTTTGCGACAGTAGATTTATAGGAATCTCATTTCATCAGCTACTTAGTTCTCATGTTAGGTTGTTTAAGGATTTATAATATCTTAAAGTTTTTGTTCTATTGTGAGCAATAGTGCCTTTGCTGCATTCATGCATATTTCGACGAGTTATTTGAATATTAAACAGTTTGAAATATAAATGTGTTTATACGTGTTGTATGCACGTAATTTCTGTAGCTTCGTGTTCTGTATACTCTTCTTAGCCTGATACTGGTATGAAAAATAAACTAACATTAGAGGCATATTTCTTTTGAATGTTTTGTTTGCTCAGAAATTCTCTGAAAAATTTTTCAAGAATAACAAGCAGCTTTTTTACAAAGATCTTTTAGAATGTGGTTTTAGTCAGCTGAGATTTCTTGGAATGTGGTTTTAGTCAGCTGAGATTTCTTGGAATGTGGTTTTAATCAGCTGAGATTTTTTGGAATGTAGTTCTAGTCAGCTGAGATTTCTTGGAATGTAGTTCTAGTCAGCTGAGATTTCTTTGAACGGGGTTCTAGTCAGTTGAGATATTTCAGAATGTGGCTATAATCATCTAAGGTATCTTAAATCATTATGTTGTAAGAAACAGATCACTCGATTAAGACTCTCTCTCATTATCCGTGTCTATTATTCTGCTGTAAGCAATAGAAATCTTTCAGCTGTTCTAAACAATGCAAGTTTCTAATATTTAGATGCTCCGTTTTAATCAGGTTTAGTATTTTGCTGTTTTAAACAATTGACAACCTGGGTGCTCAAATATGAAGAGAATGTGTTGAACTTCACGGATAGTTCAACTTTGACATTCCTAAGTTTTTGGTTTTCAAAATAAGAATTCTCTGTTTTGCTGCTCAAGTAACAATTTTTTAAAGATTAACAAGTACCTTTATTTTTAAAGATTTTTCGAATGTGGATTTGACGATCTGAGATCTTAGATACTACAAAAAAAAACCCGGTCTCTTAAGTGTGACTCTTGGTAAATACATTTCTAACATTCAGATGTAAGCAATTGAAGTCTATGATTAGTTGTTCTCAGCCCTATAAGTCCATAGTATTTAGCTATTCTAAGCAGAACCAATTTCTATCAACTAGCTATTTTTATCAAAAGAGAGCCTTATTACAACATGAATAGCTATTAGTTTGTACTTCACTTCATACATCAATTATAACACTTGTAACGATTGTCTTTAATTCAGTAGGGAAAAAAAATTATCATTGCAGTATAAATAGTCAAAATTTTATTTAATGAATTTTGTCATTGAAAGTTTATTGTAAAAAATGTGTGATTAATATACTGTACAAAGTTGTGTCATTATATTTATTTTTAATGTTATTTGACTGTTGGCTATAAGATTTAAAATTTTTGTAGTGTGCATGATTCGATTCCTATATCCTAATTTTAAACTTCCCCTCAATATTTAAAGCTTGAGGAAATGTTTAGGCACGTTGTTTAATAAATTTATATCTTGAATTATTATTTTTTGAATTGAAATATAGACTTGACCACTGGTGAGTTGGTCTTGTTCTGTATTTTTCCATGTTGTACTAAATCTGCCGTTTAATCTAGGTACTCTGCCCAACGTCACACGCAATGCTATTGTGAATGCTGCGGAGCTTGTCTGTTATGACCTTATAAAAGAGTTCATTTTACGCAAACAGCTAATGACTGACAATGTCCCGTGTCATTTCACATCTGCATTCGCTGCTGGTTTCTGTGCCACCGTGGTGGCGTCTCCAGTAGACGTGGTGAAGACACGTTTTATGAATTCGCACCATGGCCAATATGCAGGTGCTGTTGACTGTGCCATCAAGATGTTTAAAGAGGGTGGTTTAACTTCCTTTTACAAAGGGTTTGTTTTTGAAAATTAATATTTACTTTGAGTTTGTTTTAATAAACTGTTAAAAATTGTTAAGTTTGTTTTGCTTAAATGCATTTCAGGTACTGGGGATTTTTAGATTTTATCATCCCCAAAATTCCCCATTCAACAAATCATTCTGAGCAAACTTTTTTTTATAGGTGAAGTAAAATTTGCCACCCTAGAAAAATGACGCCAAAACTAAAAATTCCCCCAAAGCGCTTATGGTTTTACCAACGTGTGAATCGTCACTAAAATAACCCTCTGTACTTACCTTTTTTTTTTTTTTTTAAAGTGCTGATTGGTTGTGTGAATGGCTTGTGTGAATCATCACTGTGTGCATTTTCATTCAATTAAATTGTATGTTGTCTTAAAGTTTTTTCTGTATACAGTTTCTATCAATGTTGTGTATTCATTTTCATTTGACTACATTGATATCTTTATTTTCAAACTTGTAGTGAATGACTGCTTAAAAAAAAGGAGGAATGCAGTAGTGTTTAGTTGTTCACTGCTGTTACATTCCAATTTATTTTGAATTGAATCATCTTAAGTAACCTTTTGATGAAAAATATTTGTATATTGTAGTATTTGATCATACAATAAACAATTGTTTCCAGAATTTCTTCTTTTCTGCAAAAATAAGTAGAATTGATAATTAGGATTTGAGGATATTCCAAACTTCTACATAAATCTAAAATTCTTTGAGAAAGATATTTTATTTGTTTTCTTGCTTAAAAATATTTCTATTATCTTATTAGTTTTGCAACAATATTCTATGTTCTGATTTTTTGATATCCTTCAAGTCAGAACTATACAACATAGGAGCATTTTTTTCCCTTTCCTTATTTACTTAGTCTGAGTATTCTTTTAGCTATACAGTGTTTAGAACTTTCTTAATCAGTTTAAATTTTTTAAACAATTTAATGTGTTACTTAGATAAATTTTGAATTCAGATTCATAAATTTCTGATTTAGAGTTTATTCTTCTCTGTTTCATATAAAATAAGATGTTTTAATCTTTATATTCAATTTATCTGGCCTATGAGGTTGTTAGTGTCTTTTGATACTCTGATTTCAAATTGTTTTATAAATTAAGAGTTCTTTCATCAACTAAGTCCAATTGTTCGATACACTTCACATTATATTTTCAGCTGTCTTTGAGTTTCTCCATTTGTTTTCAAGATTTTCTATTTTTTTTATGCATTAATGTATGATTTATCATTTATGTGTATTGTATGTGAAAATCATGTTTTTGTCATTTTGTTTTTAATCATGTTCTTTGTACTGTAATTGCTTGATTCTGTTGTGAATCTCTAATCTCAGTTTAAAGTCTCTTTGAAACAAATTTACCATATGGATCAATTTGCTTTGCTTTCTATGATGAATAAAATAACCAAAGTTTCTGAAGATTACCATATCATTTATTTACAAGTATAAATTAATCAAAGAGGCTTTAATTTTGCCATCATTAAAATTGTTCTGATTCTATGTGAGTTTTGTCTTGCTCTGTGCACTTAATATCTTAAAATTTTTCTCTAATGACTAATGCTAAAATTAACCTCCTTTCATCATTGGAAGTTAGTTATTAACATTCAATAACCCAGTTTATTTTTTTTTTCATTTGGTTATTTGTATTTCTTTTACTATGTGTCATTTAAAAGATGGGCAAGTGTTATTTGACAAAAACTTAAAGTACTGATAAATTAAATAATTTATTACATTTTTTCTTTTTCAAATTCATATAAACCAACTTAATCTTTTTTGCCAGACTAGATTTTATTTCTTTTTGTTTAACAGAAAAGCACTTTGGTTATTTATAAAATAATGTTTTATTTATTGAAGCTGTTAATTTCTGATGTACACTCTTTAATTGTTACACTTAGCCCATCTTAAAAGGTTTTGCTAAAAATTGAATGATTTATCTATGAACTTTAAAATTGCACAGCAAATCTGACTTAAATATTAGTATCTAGAGTCTGGATTTACAAACATAAAATTTTTCAGTTACTCTTATAAAAAGCTTAATCTTTTACTTAAACTGTTTTCTCTTTATTTGTTATGCTATGTCTTTTATTGATTAAATTTTATTTGGTATATTCAATGGTACCTTGCAGGGATAGAAATAGAGAAAAGTGTTATAGTTTTTCCTTGATCTAAATGAGCATTAATTAATTGAAACATAATGTCCATGCCCTTTCTAGTTACTTTAAAATTTAGGAAAAGAGTAAATTTAACCATTAGAATATTAAAATGAAAGAAAAAGTGTAAATGAAGCTTTATATAAATTAATATTGTTTTTTAATTAGAAGTAGGTTATTATATTAAATGCTAAAAGAAAAAAAATAGAGGTTATTGAAGTGAAATTATGGAAAATTTTGTGGAACGTATACTATTCAAAATTATAATTTAGAAACTAAAACCAAAAGCCTAAACAAATCAGTTTACCAACCCTTTATACATGATTAACAGTGATTGGTTGCTTAGCTCCAAAGGAGGGACAGCTGATTTTTTTTTTCTTTCCCCATGGTGGACCAAGATAAGCCCACAGACCACTATTACTCCGGTTGTTGGGGTCTTTCAAGGAAAAACATCTTTAGTTGGCATATCAATTTAGTAAAGAAAAAACTTCAAACTCAAAAAGAAAAATGTAATTGAAATTTACATTGAGTATCATCAAATTATTTTTCTGTATTTTTTACTCTATTGTAAATTATAAATTAAGCTTTTAGTACTTGAATATCCAGACTCTGGTTAACAGTTTTTCAAATCTGAAATCAAATTTATAGTTTTACTTACCTATTATACCACAAAATACAGTGACTACTAGCCTATTCATAAGATTTAATATAAAATTCAATAGACTACTAGCCTATTAATTTTCCAGTTATTACATATGTTTTTTAATTTTTTCAAAAGCTACAGTTTTGCTGATATTGCTACTTCCGGTAACTAATAACATTTTAATAGCTAATGTAGTAATGGAATAGTAAAAAATATCAATTTAGGGACCTTCAAGTTAATAGCTAAATTTTAAACCGCTCTGCTTTTAAGTTGAGTGAGAAAAATTGAAAAACAATTTTTTTAAATGGTGTATTAAAAATGAAAGATAAAACTAAAACTATGATACTGAAATATGGGTGGTATTCATGCCTTATTTTGTGGTGCAATTGGTTTGCTAGATAATATTAAGATTTGGTGTCTACTTAATTTCTGACTGACATTAATCCTGTTCTTTAAGAGTATTGTTACATTGTGCTAATAACATGACAGGTATTAAGTATCTGAGCACTACTCTAGGTAAAATATTAGTTTCATTCAAAAATGTTTAGTCTTTTTTATTAATCCTGAGTTAATTTATCCTTTAGTGGTTGATGAATGTCAGTGACATTGATGAGATCCAATACTTGAAAAAATTCTTATAATTTTGCATTTCAATGTTTTCATGAATTCATTTGCAGAGGAAACATATAATGAAATTATAATTGATTAATTCATTCATAAACCTTCTTTTTATGTTCGAAGGGGCAAGTTTTATGTCCAGCGTAGCAATTAAGTTGACACCACATATGTATTCTATTGAACTGCTTGTAATTAAAAAAAATAATAATAAACCTTAATTTTTAAAAATTAATAAAATTATTTATTATTAAAAGTTAACTTTTTCTTCTTCAGTGTGATCAAAGCTGGTAGAGGAAGTAAATAGCAAAATTTCTTAGTAAAATATTTTATAAATAAATTTAAGGCCTTAAAGGTTGGTTTTTATTGGACGTTTTTAAGAAGTGCGTTAATTTTTCCTTTTTCAAAATGAAATATTTTATTTACCTTCAAAATTTTTTTCATAATTAATTATTAATTTAAAAATTAGAATGAGCCACTCAACATTGAATATATTTAAAATTGTGCATAAATTGTTAAGTGCTCAGAAAAAAAATTTTTAGTGCTAAGTGCTTTTTTTTTGTTGAAAAAGTTGGCTATGCACCCTGCTATAGCTCTTTGTTGAGAGAAGATTAATTATTAAAACTTTATACATGATGTTTTGTTTAATAAATGTATATTAAATTTCAGTCTACGCTAGTATGCAAATCTTTTTAAATAATAACAGACTAATTGAGTAGTTAACTATCTTTAGATAATGAACTGGAAATAAACTTTTTAATCATAAATAGCAAATTAATAATTTTTTTCATATCTATTTTTAATTATGCTTTAGAAATTTATAATTTTTCTTTCATAATGACAATTCTGAACATACAGAACTTGCTTTCAAAATTGTTCCAGCTTTTATATTCAACTTCAAAATATTGTTTTAAATAAATAAATAAATCATGACTTAATTAGCAGCATAAATATCCATTATCAAAATTTATATTGTTATTTACTACATTTATTTTTTGAATAAAACATGTCTACATTTTTCAGGAATAAACTTTTCTTTTATCTCTCTCTCATTTAATTTTGTTCTTTCCTTTAGGTTTATGCCTTCTTTCATCCGTCTTGGATCCTGGAATATTTGTATGTTTGTAACATTTGAACAACTGAAACGTTTCTTCACTCACGTCAGCCAGAATGGAAGAGTCATTTCTCCTGTACCCAAAGTGTACGCAGAAACTCCCGCCAAGATTGAGAATCATGTTGTTAGCTTGGAACGCCAACACTATCATTTTAACCCCGTGGTTATAAGTCAGTGGGAATAAGATATATCCAATTTCTCTTAGTATATTGGATACTAAACCTTATGCATTTAAAACATTGTTATATATATATAGTTTTGTTGCTGCTAAAGTTTTCTCTGGGAACCTTTTTTGAAATTTAATAATTAAAAATTTCATCTTTTTTTATGCTGAATGTTCGTAGGTTTTTGTTATAAATAAGTGACTAGTGCAAATAAAGTAGCTGTAGAGTGTAGATACTTACAACAGGATTAAAGATTTTTTTTTTTTAAATTGTGTAAAAAAGTAATTTGATCTAATAAAAAAAAATTTCAAGTTATTTTTGGCATAAAAAAAAAGAAGCATTTATTCCCTTGAAAATGAATGACTTTTTTCCCTGTATTTTAAGACAATTGTTTTTCAATCAACTTAGCCTACATGTGCTGCAATATGCATATGTAATGGTTAGAAAACTGCTGCTATTTTTGCACCTACTAAGTTTCAAAAAAATTTTTTTTACATGCCTTATTAATTTTTGAATAATTTACTTTAATTTTGTGATTTATTTATGCCATTCATCTTTCTTAATGGTATTACCCTGGAAAAAGTGCTATAACAGTTTCAGAAGATTTGTGATGCTATTATTCCATTATTGTTAACCAAACCAACAATATTGACTTGCTTAGTGCTTAACAATCAATTATTTGGGAATGATTTTTAATTTAGCAATCAAATAAAATTGTTTGCTTAAATGCAGTAAAAATGTCAATTAAGTAATCAAGTATAGTTTGAAGAATACTATTAAATTTTAAATAAGTTTTATCCGATTGAAGTTTAATTTAATTTTCATGAAAAAGTGTTTCCCTGGAAAACTGTTAACAGCTTATTTCTTTAAGCTGTAATTGTATTAGCTCCCTCTGAAATTCGGCTCGCAAGGTTGGTTGACTTGCCATATTTGTCCTTGTAATCCATGGCACGCAAGTAATTTCTGGCTTAAAAGATAATATTTTATTGTTTTCCTAGTTTTTAAATTCAAAATGCTGTTTTTGACTACAAGAGTTAAATATTCTGCTGATTAACTGATAAAATTGTAGTGTGTAGTATTTATAGTTATATTGTGTTTTTATTCGAGACAAAAGCCACTCATTAGCCTTCTAATGTTTCTTTTTTAAATTTCAATAATTTCTTGCGTGTCATGTGTAAATAATATATATTGTCTGTGATAAAACAATACAATTTTATCTTTGGTTATTGCTGTGTTTTTTTGTCTTGCTTTTTTTGTGGTATATTGTCATGTAACATTCCTTTTATATTGAAACACCCACTTTTCTCATTTAGTTTTGTCAGGTTGTCTTCCACCGTGTCATTTATAGAATTGAACAAAAATATCATTTTGTATTCTTGAATAAATTTTTGTGTGTTGATCTTGAGTTTATTTAAATTTTTTTTTTTTTTTTTGAAGAAAATTTTTGAATATTATGATACATGCTATTTGGCATAACAAATTTTAATAAAAATTTAAGTTTTCTGATGAAAAGTTGCATAGTGTTGATAAATTATGATTTGATTTTTCTTTGAAATTTATCTGATGTACCTGGAAAAGTTGGAATTTTTTTTTCCTTTCTGAATTTGAGTGGGAACTCTGCATTCTATTTATAGATCAGTAAATAGAATTTGGGGTGCATTCACTAATTTAATTTTTTCATGTGAATTCATGAAAGTGACAATTTGTGTTCCAAAGTTGTGCTAGCTCAGGGGATAGAGTGTTCGCTTTCCAATGCTTAGAACCGGGTTCGAATCGATGGCTGGTTGATACTGATTCCACATCCAGCTTTCACAGACCACATTGCTGGTGTTAAATATCCTCAGAGGTAGACTGATCAATGGTTGAAAAACCCCTTCAGGTTAACCGTGGGAGGTTTTCTTCTCCATGAAATGCTTTTGCAGGTTTGTTCCACCAAAAAGTCCCACGAAGGCAAATTTCTCCAAATACTTGATCCAGGAGTTCCCTTGTGTTCTGGATTGGTTCTAAAATTGCATTGTTACAGGGTTTAACATTAGTAGTCGTAAACCCAAAGAATTGGGTCTGCTGTTCAACGACAGTTATAAAAAAAAATGTGTGTGTGCTTTCATTTATTTGATTTGTTATTAAGATCACACAAATATAATTCTGCTTTTTGTTGACTTTACAACAAAGAATGTAATAAATTATTCTTAATTGACAAACTGAGGGGCTATATGGATTAAAGTATCTTATCTATTTTACCAAAACTCTATAATCGTATTAAAAAAAAAAAAGAGAAATTTTGATTCTCCTAACATGTGGGTGAAGTAGGTATTGTACTTATTTACCATTTTTAGAAGAAAAATCTTGCATGATACAAATTTTATGGTAAACATTAGTTGCATTAAAAATTTCAGTTGACCTCCTGTTACTCCTTACTTAAAATGAATTTAATATTAAAAAAAATTTCTAAATTGTAACCTGGGGTTTTTTCTTGAAAAAAACTTTGAAGTCAACTCGATTAAAAATTTTTAGATTTTGATTAAAAATATGTTACATTTTTAAATAGATTAGGGAACCATATTTTATTATTTAATTGTCTCTTAAAGATTGTCTCGGTAATTAAAAATAAAATTAAGTAAGAGTTCTGTTAGTATTGAAAGTTTAAGACACTTCTAGTTATTGATTTATAGTGAAAATACTAAATATATTATAATATATATTTTATTTGCGATAATGATTCCTTAAATTTGTAATATGAAATAATTTTTTCTTGAAGTTTTCTTTTTCTGAACCTGTGGCATATATGTAATTTTAAAAAGGCAAAATTTGCCCCTAAGGGAATGTCCACAAATTCTATGAAATATTAAAGCTACTTATTTATCAGACTAAATTTGTGGCTTTAAGAATTTCATTATTTTATGGTGAAAATCAAGCAAATCACTTAGTAAAATTTTTAAAAATCTTATATAACTCAGTGACAAATCTTGTTTATATTAGATTTATGATTTAAAAAAATTGATTAATCAATTTAACTCTTGAAATTTCAATAATCATACATTTGTCATTATGGAGATTTTAGGGACTTATTACCAATTTACTTATAATTATTTTAACAATGTACCTTTTTCTTCAAAATTATTGAATTTTTTTTTATTGAATCTTATCTTCCAAATGGAAGGAGCATTTTCTAATAAGTATTTTTTTTAAAAAAAAAAAAGCTTTCCAGCTTTGTAATAAAATTTTTTTTTTAACGTTTTTGTTTATGATTGTGAGTTAAATCTATAAAATTCTTTTTTGATTTAAATTTCTGCTTAATGAGTAATTGTATGAGGATTGTTCTGATAATTTTTTAGCTTTGCTAGAAGAGGATGTAATTTATAAAAACTTTGAGTGAGAGAATTCTACTTTCCTAGCCTTAATTGGATAGCTAATTATTGATTTAGAACTTTTTTTTTCTTTTTACCTTTTGTTCCATAATAAAATTTTTAATTGGTGTGAACAAATTATAAAAATGCTTTCAAACTTAGAATATAAACTATGATAATTAGGTTGAGTGGAATACATTTAATGAATTGAATCTAAAGAAATTAGCTTTTTAAAAAATAAATTCAGAATACTTCTAATCTGAAATAATTACTACCTTAAAAACAGCCTTGAAAAACACTTACTTTTTAGATTATCAGCTTAAGTGTTTTATGGGACAATTGTTAGATTGAATAATTAAAATCTGTTGAACATTTTTTGTTTATGTTTTATGGAATTATGTTGAAGATAAAAAAAATTTCAGCTTGATAAATAAGTTTAGTGGGGTAAACACTAAAAGCCTTCATAAAGTTTCCTATGTGATAATTATAAAATTTGAAACAATCAATCATAACTTTTAGAATGTGCTTCTGTGAATTTGGCCATACAATGGAAAATGGCAGTCTTTAAGCAATGTCACACTTGAATATGAAAAGGAGTGATAAATCACAAATCTTACTTAAATTAATTTTATGCATGATATATCAATATTTTAATTTTACCTTTATTTTAAAATGGTAAAATTGCTTTTTTCTTTAGATTTTATTATGTATATAAAAAAAAATATGCCTTTTAAGGAAATCCCTGTGAAAAGGGAAGTTTTAGGCAATAACACTTTCAAAAATAATAATACTAATAAAAGGTCGGTCATTTTCGCAAAAATTCAAGCTCTCTGAAAATAGAAATGATTAAATAATTTTAATTAAAGATTAAAATATGAGATATTTTCTATTATGTTAAGCCTTGTTTCTAAACTGCTAGAACTTTATGATTAAGTAACAGAATGTAATGTGTTAAAACATGACTAAGTGGTCGGGAAAAAAAATTTTCGACTACTTTTTGACCTTTTCTTTTTTGACGGAGTGGTATTTTATGATTTTGCTTAATTAATATGCATTTTAAAATTAAATATCACTATAAAAAAAAGTTTTTATTTTTAGTGAAATATTAAAACAATATCGTTTGATACTATTAAAAATGGCTAATTCTGATGGAATTAAGATTAAGCATGCTAATAAGATAAAACTAATTGAAAAATTAAAATATGTACCATGTTTAAAATATAATTAATTAATATTTATTTAAAGATATAATTGTTATTAATTTTAATTATTGAAATTTAACTATTTGCGAGGAAAATCGTAGCCCATAATTGTTACTTTCTTAATTATCAAGTTAATTTTGTTTATTATTCTAATGATAATGATTTTTTAAATAAAAGATATTTGGTACAAATTTTAATTTGTATTTAATAATACTCATGTCGGAAAAAATTTATTAAAAAGTACTTAAGTTAAATCTTTGTGTACCTGCATTGTATATACAACAGACGCCTACATCTGATGTTACTTTTTAAAAATATATTCTTACATAATTAATTTAACAAAAGTTAGCAATAAATAATTAAAACTGAAAAACATATTTGAAACAAGTTTTTAATTACGTATACGATTTATATTTATATGGTATTTGTGATTTAAGTCGACATATATTAAAAGGCATTCAACTTTGAACGAAAGAAAGTTCCAAACCTATTAGCTTTGAACTATTTTCATTTATTTATTCAGCCCATTAATTTTTTCATAGTTGTTTAAATGAAATATTTCCCCTTCTTAAATAACTGATTTGCTTAATGGATATTTTATAGATATTGATTAATTTTACATTTACATAAATTCATTTATAAACTGAAAAGTGTTAGAAATTTCAGGACAACATCCATTGCATATTATTAATATACAAAACTTCTAGATGGCGCCACTATACCTTAATACTTAGAAGAACTAGAGTGAAGTGAAGGCACTCTAGAGTGAAGTACTCCCTCAAGTAGTGGGTAAATCAAAAAAGCAAATTCAGTAGTAAACATTTATATTTCATAGCTGCTAACTTATAAGAACATAGAGGAAAAATTTTTTTAGTGGTAGTATATATTAAATCTCCAGTTTAAAGTTTCTAAAAACATTTTTCTTCTTGCCAAATCAATAATTAAAAAATATGTAGATATGATCTGTTTGTTAGCTTGTATAACCATTAAATGTTTAATTTTTAGAAAATATTTCTAACTTTAATTGTTGTTTTATTATCACTTAAATCTCTTTCAGCAACCGTACAAGTTGTCAGGTGTTGTAAATAAACGTATGTTATTTTTCCACGCTCTGTTTGATTTTACATGTTCAAACCATTAAACTTTTTCACTCTAAATTATTTACCACTAAATATTTAAAATAAAACATTTTATTATTAAGAATCTCTATTGTTAATACTAAGAATATCTATTAAGAATACTTTTTAATGTCAAAAGCTCATATTCCTCCCCTTAAAAATGAGCTGTGGAATTGATTATATCACAAACATTGCCAAGTAGTACGGCTGCTAAAATAATACTTTTTTTATTGGTAGCAACATTAGCGTGTCAAGTCTTGGAAGTTAAATGTTTCAAAAATATTTTTTAAACAGCCACAACGAATTAATAATTTACAAGATTAAGTAAATAAGATCTATTTGTAAGCTAATTATGATTCTAGATGTCTTGATAGTTTTGTTTTTAGAAGATTCTTCTATTCTTAATTGTTGTTTTACTACCACTTTGTAAAATCTTTTTCAACGACCTACCAAGTTTGCCGGTAAGAATGCTGTATGGAAAAAAATATTTATCTTTTAATAATAGAATTATCCTGAAAAATTTTTGATCAAATGATTGGGCTCTCAAATATGTTAATCAGTTACATAAAAACGTTCTTTCTCTTAATAAACATAACTTTATTTTGACAGATTATAATTTTGAGAATTATGATACTAATAGTTTGGACAGAACAGCTGTCAAAAGTTTTGAGACCTTGACGTTAGTTTTACCTCCTGCTAATTTCGACATATGTCGATAATTTTTTAAGCGAT